TCCCTCTTAGAAACGCTTTTGCTGTATCCCATAGGTTTTGGGTCATCGTGTTTTCATTGTCATTTGTTTCTAGGTATTTTTTGATTTCCTCTTTGATTTCTTCCATGATCTCTTGGTTATTTAGTAATGTATTGTTTAGTCTCCATGTGTTTGTATTTTTTACAGTTTTTTCCCTGTGATTGATGTCTAGTCTCATAGCGTTGTGGTCGGAAAAGATACTTGATACGATTTCAATTTTCTTAAATTTACCAAGGCTTGATTTGTGACCCAAGATATGATCTGTCCTGGAGAGTGTTCCATGAGCACTTGAGTAGAAAGTGTATTCTGTTTTTTTTGGATGGAATGTCCTATAAATATCAGTTAAGTCCATCTTGTCTAATATGTCATTTAAAGCTTGTGCTTCCGTATTTATTTTCATTTTGGATGATCTGTCCATTGGTGAAAGTGCGGTATTAAAGTCCCCTACTCTTGTGTTACTGTCGATTTCCCCTTTTATGGCTGTTAGCATTTGCCTTATGTATGGAGGTGCTCCTATGTTGGGTGCATAAATATTTACAGTTGTTATATCTTCTTCTTGGATTGATCCCATTATGTAGTGTCCTTCTTTGTCTCTTGTAACAGTCTTTATTTTAAAGTCTATTTTGTCTGATATGAGGATTGCTACTCCAGCTTTCTTTTGATTTCCATTTACATGGAATACCTTTTTCCATCCCTTCACTTTCAGTCTGTATGTGTCCCTAGGTTTGAAGTGGGTTTCTTGTAGACAGCATATATACAGGTCTTGTTTTTGTATCCATTCAGCCAGTCTGTGTCTTTTGGTTGGAGCATTTAATCCATTTACATTTAAGGTAATTATCGATATGTATGTTCCTATTACCATTTTCTCAATTGTTTTGGGTTTGTTTTTGTAGGTGGTTTACCTTCTCTTGTGTTTCCTGCCTAGAGAAGTTCCTTTAGCATTTGTTGTGAAGCTGGTTTGGTGGTGCTGAACTGTCTTAACTTTTGCTTGTCTGTAAATGTTTTAATTTCTCCATTGAATCTGAATGAGGTCCTTGCTGGGTAGAGTAATCTTGGTTGTAGCTTTTTCCCTTTCATCGCTTTAAATATGTCCTGCCACTCCCTCCTGGCTTGCAGAGTTTCTGCTGAAAGATCAGCTGTTAACCTTATGGGGATTCCCTTGTATGTTATTTGTTACTTTTCCCTTGCTGCTTTTAATATTTTTTCTTTGTATTTAATTTTTGATAGTTTGATTAATATGTGTCTTGGTGTGTTTCTCCTTGGATTTATCCTGTATGGGACTCTTTGTGCTTCCTGGACTTGATTGACTGTTTCCTTTCCCATGTTAAGGAAGTTTTCAACTATAATGTCTTCAAATATTTTCTCAGACCCTTTCTTTTTCTCTTCTTCTTCTCGGGCCCCTATAATTCAAATGTTGGTGTGTTTAGTGTTGTCCCAGAGGTCTCTGAGACTGTCCCCAATTCTTTTCATTCTTTTTTCTTTATTCTGCTCTGCAGTAGTTATTTCCACTATTTTATCTTCCAGGTCACTTATCTGTTCTTCTGCCTCAGTTATTCTGCTATTGATTCCTTCTAGAGAATTTTTAATTTCTCTTACTGTGTTGTTCATAATTGTTTGTTTGCTCTTTAGTTCTTCTAGGTCCTTGTTAAACGTTTCTTGTATTTTCTCCATTCTGTTTCCAAGAATTTGGATCATCTTCACTATCATTACTCTGAATTCTTTTCCAGATAGACTGCCTATTTCCTCTTCATTTGTTTGGTCTGGTGGGTTTTTACCTTGCTCCCTCATCTGCTGCGTATGTCTCTGTCTTCTCATTTTGCTTAACTTGCTGTGCTTAGGGTCTCCTTTTCGCAGCCTGCAGGTTCATAGTTCCTGTTGTTTTTAGTGTCTGCCCCCAATGGGTAAGGTTGGTTCAGGGTTGTGTAGGCTTCCTGGTGGAGGGGACTGGTGCCTATGTTCTGGTGGGTGGGGCTGGATCTTGACTTTCTGGTGGGCAGGGCTACATCCAGTGGTGTGTTTTGGGGTGTCTGTGAACTTAGTATCATTTTAGGCAGCCTCTCTGCTAACAGGTGGGTTGTATTCCTGTCTTGCTGGTTGTTTGGCATGGGGCGTCCAACACTGGGGCTTGCTGGCTGTTGGGTGGAGCTGGGTTTTAGCATTGAGATGGAGATCTCTGGGAGAGCTCTCACTGATTGATATTACATGGGGCTGGGAGGTCTCTGGTGCTCCAATGTCCTGAACTTGGCTCTCCCGCCTCAGAGGCTCAGGATTGACACCAGGCCAGAGCACCAAGAGTCTGTCAGCCACATGGCTCAGAAGAAAAGGGAGAAAAAAAAGGTAAGTAAATAAATGAATAAAATATTAAAATTAAAAAAATTATTAAAATAAAAAAGTAATAAAAAAAAAGAGAGCAACCAAACCAGTAAACAAATCCACCAATGATAATAAGCACTAAAAACTATACTAAGATAAACGTAAAAATCAGAAACAAGTCAGTTGTAGACAGCAAACCCCAAGTCTACAGTTGCTGCCAAAGTCCACTGCCTCAATTTTGGCTTGATTTGTTGTCTATTCAGGTGTTCCACAGATGCAGGTACCTCAGGTTGATTGTGGGGATTTTATCTGCTGCTCCTGAGGCTGCTGGGAGAGATTTCCCTTTCTCTTTGTTCTTCGTACAGCTCCTGGGGTTCAGCTTTGGTTTTGTCCTCACCTCTGTGTGTAGGTTGCCCTCAGCCTTCTGTTCCTACGCAGACAGGATGGGGTTAAAGCAGCAGCTGATTAGGGAGCTCTGGCTCATTCAAGCCAGGGGGTGGGAGGAGTACGGTAGTTAGAGTTGGAACATGGGAGGAACCTGCAGCGGCAGAGGCTGGCGTGATGCTGCAGCAGCCTGAGGCGAGCTGTGTGTTCTCCCAGGGAAGTTGTCCCTGGATCATGGGACCCTGGCAGTGGCGGGCTGCAAAGGCTCCTGAGTGGGGCTGCAAAGGCTCCTGAGTGGGGGTGTGGATAGTGACCTGTGCTTGCACACAGGGTTCCTGGGGCTGCAGCAGCAGCATTAGTGTTTCACGCCCGTCTCTGGGGTCTGAGCTGATAGCTGTGGCTCGCGCCTGTCTCTGGAGCTCGTTAAGGCAGTGCTCTGCCTTCTGTGGGCAGACAGGGAAGGATTCCCCTCTCCTCACACACCCTGAAACAATGGTCTCTTGCCTCTTAGGCAGGTACAGACTTTTTCCCAGACTCCCTCCCGGCTAGCCGTGGCACGCTATCCCCCTTCAGGCTGTGTTCACGCAGCCAACCGCAGTCCTGTCTCTGGGATCTGACCTCCGTAGCCCGAGCCTCAGCTCCCAGCCCAGGCCTGCCCCGGCGGGGGAGCAGACAAGCCTCTCGGGCTGGTGAGCGCCGGTCGGCACCGATCCTCCGTGCGGGAGTCTCCCCGCTTTGCCCTCCGCACCCCTGTGGCTGCGCTGTCCCCCGCGGCTCCGAAGCTTCCCCCCTCCCCCCCCCCTCCCACCCCCGTCTCTGCCAGTGAAGGGGCTTCCTAGTGTGTGGAAACTTTTCCTCCTTCACAGCTCCCTCCCAGAGGTGCAGGTCCCGTCCCTATTCTTTTGTCTCTGCTTTTTCTTTTTTTCTTTTACCCTACCCAGGTACGTGGGGAATTTCTTGCGTTTTGGAAAGTCTGAGGTCTTCTGCCAGCATTCAGTTGGTGTTCTGTATGAGTTGTTCCACCTGTAGATGTATTTTTGATGTATTTGTGGGGAGGAAGGTGATCTCCATGTCTTACTCCTCTGCCATCTTGAAGGTCCCAAAAGGTTGATTCTTAACCTACAGTGGAGGAAACATTCAAAATCAAGATTGTTTTACTTTTACTTTTGAAATCTGTCAGTCTTTATGTTTATATTTATTACTTTTTTCCATATTCTTTTATCTGATTTTCCCACCTCCATCTTCCCCCTTTATATAATCCATCCAGTTTGTTATAAGATATATTAATTAAAACACAGTTTGATTACAGAACTGCTCACAAAGCCTTCTTTAATGTTTTCAAATTCTTAACAGTATAAATTCCTTGCTAGTTTGTTTCTTATTTAGGTCCTCTATAATTAGGTTCTTAGTTCAAGTTCCTAAACTGCTGTTTCTTTCTTCAGCCCTATATGACTCTATATTATGGCCCAATACAGCCTTTTTCCCATTTCAGTAGAGAGCTTCTGGGCATCCTCATCTGCTTGCTGTAGCTCATCTGTTTTCTCTGCCTGGAATATTCTCTCTCCTGCTTTTTGTGTTTCAGAATTTTTCTTTAATAAAGTCCAGCTTAAAAGCCTTTCATTCTTTCACTGAGTCTTTCCTGATAGCCTCAGCATGAAGTGATTCTCCTTCTTCTTAATTTTACCCTTAGCTCTTTTAAGACACAAACTACATCTTAAACTTGTTAAGGGAAGAATAAAAATATTTTTTTATGAAAGTGCCAGTATATACATTCCCTGAATATGGTTTTACAAGTATCAATAATTTTTTGGGAAAATGGTATAAATGTAGATTAGTTATGGTGAAATAAATACGAATATAATTTAAATAAGGGAAAATTCAGTCTTTTTCAAGAGATATATTTGATTTAAAAATTTTAATAAAACAAAGTAACATGTATACTCTTGAAATTTCTTACATTTGTGTTTGTTTTATGTCTAAATATTTTTCCCCATTGCTTTCTGGAGCAAAATCTGATCTTGTTTATGAAAAAGAAAAGTTTAGATACAGTGCTAACAAAATAGCCTTTTAGTTATAAAATGCATTGTGTTGGAACAGACTAGAGTTCAGTTTTGTTATCCACTTGATTTCAGACTTAGTAAATACTTGAACTGGAAAGTTAATTTGTAAAGTGTGACATTTTAAAAAATCTGATTTCTTAACTTTTTTTGGTGTGTGTAGAACATTTTATATGAAATAAATTTGTAATGTTGGGTAATAATTATCTATTAATAATGTGTTTATAGAACCTGCCTTCTGGATCATCACGTGTTGGAGCCATTAAACTTACCTACATTTCAAAGGTAGTCTCTCTGTATTGTCTTACATTTGTGCATGAATTAAAATCCCTTAGAATGAGAGTGTGAATTAAAGGAGCCATCTCCTCTCTTTGCCATTTAAGATGATGTTCTGGTTCATATTACATTGAAAACAGTACCTGATTACTATGTTTAGGAAGTTCTTTGATAAAATTAGGAAGAATATGGAGTTAAATTACAGGATGTGGCAAATTGAAAAGTTAACATTAACTTTTATGATCAGGTATATGAATGTCAGAAGGGGAGATTCATCTGTTAACAATTAGGTTCTGTCTTTGGGAAATCTGGAGAAGATTTTTCTAAGTCTGTATTTATTTATTTAAACTGTAATTTTTAATCTCATTACCTTTGTTTGTTCCTTTATGTTTTACTTTGAGGAAAATATGAACCATCTTCATGATAAAAGATGGGTTTTTTTCCCCTCATTTGACTTTGTCTCTACTAACTTGTTTTCTTGTTTGTTGATTTTTCTGGAATTTTTGCAATACTGTTTTTCTTTTCAGAAATTTAGATTTGGTATTAGGTAGTTTTTTCCCTCTTATTGTCTTTTCTTAGTGTTTTGGGAACTCAGATAGAGAGATGCTGAGGAACTAGTTTTGTTTTACACAAAGTAATAAGCTTGCTGATGCCTTAAGATGCGATATGAAAAGTAGCAACTCAGTATGATTAATGTGCATATACATACTATTATGCATACACTGAGATTTGTTAGCAAAGGTCTTCAACAGAAGAACAATTTACAAGTGTGCCTCTATTTAAAAGAAAGATATTTTGATAAAAGAAAAGCTGTTATCAGCATCATAATAGAGCTATTCATTCTCATTGACCAAAAAAATTACATATTTAAAGGGAGCCATTTTATGTTAAAGCCATATTATGTGAATTTGGAAAAGACAAATATTGTTGAAGTATATCTCAAGTGTTCCTGTAAATTTAAGACATTTAGTAATACTTCAGGGTACCTTACAGCTTAAATTCTATAGAGACTATCATTAGGAAGCAAGTGTAGAATTCCATTGTAGAATAAAGTGTAGATAATTCCGGCCCCCACCTCCCCTTTACTTGATTGCCTACAGTAAAGGTATACTACAATGTAAATATGCTGCCAGGGACCTTTGACTCTTAATGAAGTGATGTGGAAAGGCCTGTTTTATTGGAATAGGCAGATGAGGTAGAAATTGCCCATGTGCCTGTATCTTTTCAATTGCTTGTTGCCTGGTCTTTTTAAAAATTAAGGTATTAACTCAGCAAAGCAGGCAGACTGGCTGGCCAGCTGCATTCCCCTCCTCCATCGCTTCCTTTTTAAAATATAACCTTCCCTGTGTAGTTCTGTTAGGTTTCATCTCTGTCCCACAGCTTACTGAAGTTTGAATTGTACACCTTGTACTCTACTTTAGACATGCCACTTTTTCCCCAGAATTTATTCCTGGAACAAATTTCATTGTGACTCAGTGCTCAATTTGTAGCTGAGGTCAGTCAGGAACCCCAGACTTAGAATTCCTTCTGAAGGTACAGAACAGATGCTACAGTTGTTAAGTTCTAACACTGGGCAACAGCATGGCAACAGTCATGAATGGGCTTTATTTAAAGGGCTAGCAGCAACCAGGTGCAATTAGTTGCTTCACCTTCTAAACGGAACCATGCGCTGCTTTTAGTAAAGGGGGGCCCCATTATCCTAGGGTATTTTAATGTACAAGTGGGAATCCAGTGCCATTTTGATTTCCTCATTGCAGGTTAATGCCTTCTGGATTTTTAGACTTTATTAAATATACAATCTCCCCCTTACCCACCACCATTTCCTCATGCAGTTCACAGCTAATTTAGAAATATGCAATTTGGGAAGAATTCATAGTTTCTGTGGAGTATTCATTGAGGGTATTTTGAAAACTACATTAAACCAAAAATATGTGTATGTGTGACATAAAACTTAATGGTTTATTTTCAATTTCTTCGCACTTCCTTTGAAGAAAAAACAATTTTGTTCAAAGAGAGCATGGAAGTATCATTTGTTTTAAACATCTTAAAGTTGGGACCCATATTCTAAATTTAATTTACAGTTCTTTTTCAGTTGCCTTAAAGTTTAATTTTAGATCTGTGTGCTAAATGTGTATGATTACTGGGAAATCATACATGTGGAATTCACATAGTGTTTAAGGTTGGTTATAGTAGCACATGAAGAAGTGAGTGATTCATCTCTCTTTCTTGTTAGGTTAGCGATGCAACTAAGCTAAGGCCAAAGGCTGAGTTCTGTTTTGGTGAGTAGCCGTATTTTATACGTTAGTTATTTTAAGTTAGACTAATATAATTTCATCATATTGTAAGAAAAAACAGTCACAGAAAACCACACAACACGATCCTATAGGGTAATGAATTATTCTAAGGCAAATTCCCTTGAAACTATCATCTGGTGAAGAAATCAAACTGCTCCCCAACCCCTGAAGCCTCTTTCCTGTGTCCCATCCCAGTCACAACCTCCTTCCACTCAGCCCATGTGTAATCATTATCTAGACATTTATAGTGGTCACGTCCAGCGAGATTAATTTTAAACGCTCTACCCGATATTATTTGATATTCAATACATAATAACAGAAAGGATTTAGTTTGCAGCTTATGGGTAAGGAGAAGTTTACAGTTTGGGAGCAAGGGTAGTTGAGGGTATTTGATTAAGTGCTCAGTGAACATTTAATGAATGTCTGGTATATGCACTGTGCTTGCCATGGGGCTATGAGAGTAATAAGAAGCAATTGCTGCCCTTAAGAATCTCACAGGCTGGCTGTCTCACAGACAGATACAGTACCAGGGAGTTATCATTGCATTTATCACAGGCGGTAGATAAAGCAATGTACAGTCTATTCAAGGAAGAGCTTCAGATCCTTTTTGGAGATCTTGGGAGTGAAGGGAGCCACACTGGATGAGACTAACCTGATCATCCTTTATCACTGGGGAGAAAAGATGGGAGGACAGAGGCATGCAGGGGAGAAGAACAAGGTGTGTGCAGAGAACTGAACACTCAGTAAAGCTGGAGAGAATGGTGAGAGACTGAAAAGTGAAGAGAGAGGAGTCAGGGTGTAATGTGTTGACAAGCGATTTTTTTTTTTTTTTTTTCCGGTGAGACGGCCGCTGGTACGATATGACTTATAATAGCCTGACAAACGTGCGTGCAGAGTGCTTTTTGAGTTTTTTGCTCAAATTATAGAGGAAAAGCCAGTGAAAATGCTTCTTACTTGCCTCCCAAAAGAGAGTTGTGCAGGAAGCTTTAAATTATATGGAACCTTTTTCAGATTATTGCGGAGCACAGGCTCCGGACGCGCAGGCTCAGCGGCCATGGCTCATGGGCCCAGCCGCTCCGCGGCATGTGGGATCTTCCCGGACCGGGGCACGAACCCGCGTCCCCTGCATCGGCAGGCGGACTCTCAACCACTGTGCCACCAGGGAAGCCCGACAAGCGATTTTTTTTGTTTCTTTTATTTTCTGGAAAACGAGAGAAGAGAAATTAGAGAGCATCTAGAAAGTAGATATAAGGTGAAGGAAGTTTTTTTGTTTTTTTTTTTTATGGATCAGAGAGCTTGATGCAAGTACATTAGTTAAGTGGCTTTTGAACTGCTGTTCCTAACATAGAGCCTGAATTAGGGGGAAAGAGGAGGTATGAAGAACATCAAAAGGAAAAGCACAAAGACTCGGTGACTGGATATGTGGGAGTTGAAGGGAAGAGAGAGGTGTCCAGTAGGTTTGCTTCAAGGAAAGAAATGAGGGATCCAGGAGAGCAGATTAGATGGGGTGAAATATTCGGTAAGGAGTTTGAATGGTGGGGAGACATCCAAATGGAAATATTCTGGTGACAGTAATTGAGGACTGGATGGAGCTTGAAGATCAAGAATGGAAAACTTTAGAATCTGTTAAAATAGTGGGTGTACTTGAAGCTGGGAGGATCGATAGGCTGTTAGAGCGTATGTTAGTGGACATTAGTGATGAAAGGGATGAAAATTAGGAGTTTCCAGCTGACATCGATAGGGACTATTTTACATTAAAGTAAAAAAGATACTTCTTGGGGTAGAATTGATGTTAAATTTCTTTGTTTTCTTTTGCTTGAAAAGAGCAGGTTTCTTCTGTAGGCAGTATGTTAGGGATAGCATCTGATGGCAAAATCATGTATATCCAGTAAGAAAATGTGATATGAACAAGATGTAGTATAGCTGTTCAGAGAATCCTCTATAATGCTTTTATTGCCACTAAGAAACTAATAAAAAGTCATGTATTTATTACAAATTTATAATTTTTGGTTGCTAAATAGGAAAATGCCTCAGAACCTTGTTGAATGGAAGGCTACTGGGGGCAAGTCAAGTGATAGAGAACTTTATATTTTAGAGTGTATCATGTGCATACTCTTGACAGGTCTTTAATGTAAAATCTCAAACATACAGTTTGAAGGGCTAGCAATATACAGTAAAAGATTTGCTATTCAGTTATTGGGGTATTTAGAATGAGTGATTTTAGTTGAAATCAGAGATTAACAGTCATTTATTGGTCTGCCAACAGTTTATTGGTCCTTTACTTTTAGAGGGAGTAAAGATTCATAAAATGTTTGCCTTCAGAGAGAGGCACTGGCTTCTAAAATGGAACTACAGCTTCCATTCAAAATGGCAGCATAAAGTCTTTCCTTCCCTGTTTCCTCTCAGATTTGCCCCCAAACAGTGAGAACAAGAAACATCCAAACCATCTTTGCTGAAACTAGCAGATTTCTGTAATCCACAGTGTATAAAGATGGAAAGTGGATGGAGGAGGAATAAATGACGTGACAGAGTAGAAGAGACCAGTGGAAGGTAGCTATTTCCATGTCCTGCCCCCACGCCAGCTCTGGATAGAATAGGTGTTGGCTCTGGTCTGGGGAGGCAACAGGGAGGAGGGATTCAACACAGGGACTTTTTGTTTGCATGTCTACGTAGAAACAACCTCTAGTCCCTACTGCCATCTGGCTCTGGCAGGCAGCCACCCTTCCCCCATCCCAGCAAGGAATGGCATGTGTAGTATCTCCAGAAATAGAATCAGTGAGGCTGTGTGCGTGGGGACAGTAGTCTCAGAGAAGGGGGGGGACGAGGCATGAAACAGAAAATGGGAGGATTAAATGAAAAAGTCTGCACACTGAATGCAACTCTTCTCTTTCCCGTGTCCAGGCCCAGAACACCAGGCAGCCAGGTGGAGGTGGGGCAAGAATCTGAACACCCCAGAGAAGAGAGCCATAGGTACTGACAGTTGGGCATTTCTACCAGAGGAGCTTGCTGTACAGCAAAGCCCACCAGTCAGAAACCCTACATATGTTCAAGAGAGCTTCCAATCTGTTTTTTGTTACCTTGTTTTTAAATATGGTCTTGGCCAGTCCAGGATGGCATGACATTTGAGAAGAAAGAATTGTCACATAGGAAAAAGAACATGAGACAATGCAAAACCCCGAAGAAGTCAAAGAAAGCTAAAAATAAAACAAAGATAGATAGTAGGAGAGAAATAAGAAAATTAAATTGGAGTTTCCATTAAGAAAGCCAACGTCTGACTAATAGAGAAGGAAAGGGTAGAGAAAGAGTAGAGATAGAGAAAACGGGAGAAAATTGGCAAAGAAATATAATAAAATGTCTCATAACCGTTTGACCCATAACCGTATTTGAACCGTAACCAGTTGATCCTAGGTTGTGAAATGATTTTTGTTTGGAGTCAAGCTAATGTTTATGCTTCAGGTTTTATCCATTTGGTACATTCACTTTGATGGTAAAGACTTGAAATGAAATAAGGGAGTACTTAAGTGAAAAGATAGTAAGCACACAAGCCTCTGCTATGCATTCATTATACACAATGAAACCCTTGCTTTAAAAGCATGGAAACTTACAGGTTTCATACAGTTTATTATTATTATTATTAAAAGTTTTTTCCTTCCTTTCCCTGTCCACTGTTCCCCCAGCATTGCTAATATAAGTTTTTAGTAATTTGCTTTACATTTTCCACAATACTTCTTTACTTGGAAACCTCCAAGTGATGATGATGGTGATGATGATGATGATGAAGGTGATGAAGATGGTGAACAGGAATATCTGTTCTATCCCAGGCACTGTGCTAGTTTCTTTACACAGATCACCTCCACCCCCCAAGGCAGGGATGGGTGGCATTCCACTTCATAGATGAGGAAAACAAGAGTCAGAGATTAAATACATTTTATAAGATGGTATTGCTAGTAAGTGCATGAGCTAGTCAGGTCTGCCAACTCCAGGCTCTGATTCGCCCCCCCTGTCGTATTGCTGTGCCTCTTCCTGCCATTAAATAATGCTTAAAGCACAGGATTTTTTATTCAGACTGCAAAGTGTGCTGAGAGTCTTTTTAGAGGTGTATCTGCCTCTCTTCTTTCCCTTCAAAGAGATCCTTATATAAATGTCATTTATTCAAAAATATGTGTATTAAGCACTTTATAGCAGGTGTAGTGTATTACCAAGAGCTTAGATTTTTTTAACTCTTGAGATGTTTTAGGTAGCTGCCCAAAACAACATTGAGGGGGAAAATAGCTGTTATGAGGAGAGCTCAGCTTTAGCCTGACCCGGAAAAAGATTATGAAAGGATGCTTTACTGATTGTTAGAAATTAAAAACAGAAGCTATATATTGACATATATAATAGCCTAGTGAGTTACTGATTTATCTTAATTTATATTTATGGCATTTATAATCTCTCCAATCTCTAGTAAGGTATAAAAGAACAGATTTATAGTGTGTTAAATTTCTTTAGGTCCAAACTAATTGTTGTATAGCACTTCACAAGATAAGACTCTCATATCAATACAAGGAAGCTCTTGTTTAGTGTCTTGGTCTCAGTCTCAGTTTCATAATCTTGTGTATTTGAGAAATAAACTTTTTTCCCTTGAGAGTTTTCATTACCCCCTTCCCTTAGGCACATTCAACTGAGTGTTAGTATACCATTTAAAATTTTGATGGAGACTTTTGGAAGTTATTTGTATATTTACAAAAACTAAAATTGCAGCACTGTAGCTATTCAGATGCCTTAGCTCCTAGAATAATGTTTGTTTTTAAAAATAAATCTTGTGATGTATAATTAATAAGCTTTAATTTGAACATTGACTAGTAGTTTGTCAACAACTGTATGCAGGTGTGCTTTGCTTTATAGACGTCAGTAGTGACTAAAGGGGTGTATGTAAATTAAATTGCATAAAAAGTTCCAAATGTATTAAGATTATAAACGTAAAGAAAATGCATAAGTGCTGGACAAATAAAGCTGTTTATTTTTATAATCTTGAGTTGGAGAGACTGTCTTAATATGATGTGAAAGCTAGAATCATTAAAGGAAAAGGAAAAGAAGATTGAGATAGACTGGTTCTGATTGATCAGAGATACCATGAACTAAGTGAAAAGACAGATAATAGGCTGGGAAAAGTACTTGAGATAAAACAAAGGATTAATACAAAAGTGCTTATAAATCAGTAAAAAATAAATCAACAACTCGGGAGAAATATGGGTAAAGAAAATAAACAGCTCACAAAACAGATGCAGGTGGCCAATAAACATATAAAGCTAATTTGTCTCAGTAATCAAAGAAATTCATGTTTAAACAAGGTATAATTTTTCACCAGTTAGGTTGACCGAGAGTCAGGAAAACACACCACACTTGGCATTTCAAACCCAGGGCATTTGTTACAGGGAATTGGATAACCAGATGTTGAAAGGCTGAAGGAGCACAAAGGGAATGCTGAAGTAACCCACAGATTAGAACCTGCATGAAGGAGCTACCATCCCCAGGGCTGGAGAGAGGAAAGGGAGGAGATGGTCTTACCAGAACCTAGGACTCTCTGAGGGGACTGCAAGGCTGATGGAGGGAGGGAGCAGCAGAAGAGCCTGGAGCAGTGGCCGTTGTGTGTTGGCTGCTGCTGGAGGGAGACCAGCAAGAGCAGGACTCTGCATGGGAGTCCCCTCCGCCACCTCCCTCCCACCTTCCAGGCTCCCGCCAGGAGCTCCCATTGGCAGAACATGGCCCCCTTCTGCCCGTGCTGGCAAGGAAGTCTAGGAAATAATGTCACAGAGCCTTGGGGCTGAAAACAAGAGGTACTGGTGAGGACTATTCGACAAGATAGGCCTTTGGATACACTATTGGTAGGAGTGTAAATGGATTCAGCCTTTGGAGAAGACAATTTACTAATATCTATAAAAATGTTAAATGTGAATTTTCTTTGACCCGATAAGCCTATGTTAAGAAATTTATCCTATGCTAATGCTATCCCAAGTGTGGAGAAGCATATGTATATGTTTCATTGGGATATTTTATATAGTTTCAAAAATCAGAAATAGCCTAAATGTCCATCGATAGAGGATTGGCTAAATAAATTGTGGTATTTTTACATTTACTGAAAAACGTGGCCATTAAAAACGAGAGTTTTACCTGTGTTATTGAGTGATAAAAGAAATATATGGTCTAACATTTTGTCAAATTCGAGAGAATCACAGTACTGAAGCTTGCGAGGTTTTTCGGCTGCTGCAGACATAAATTTAGAGGTAACAAGTGCAAAATTTCATATGTTGTAGTTTGTTTTGTCTCTCAACAGTTATGAATGCAGGGATGAGGAAATATTTCCTACAAGCCAATGATCAGCAGGACCTAGTAGAATGGGTAAATGTGTTGAACAAAGCTATAAAAATTACAGTAAGTATTTGTACTTTTTGTGTGAAAAAATTTTAATGTGTGGATGTGATCTTTACAGTTTGTAACGATGCTTACTGAGTGTCTTCAGCTTACCAACAGTTTGTCCCAGAGTTAATCAAAGTTTGTTTAAAAGACAGGTTATAATGTGAATGAATTTTCTTGTACATGGTAACTATTGGCCCTTAAAATCAGCCCATAGATGCCTTTTTAACCCATTGTGTACCTAATAAGGGTCTATATTACAGTAAATTAAAAAAAAATTATTTATGATACTTTTATTATTTTTTTTTAACTTTTAAAAAAAATTTATTTTTGGCTGCTTCGGGTCTTAGTTGCAGCATGCCGGATCTTCGTTTAGGCATGCGGGATCTTTCCTTGCAGCGCACGGGCTTCTCTCTGGTTGTGGCGTGAGGGTTCCAGAGCACGTGGGCTCTGTAGTTTGCGGCATGCAGGCTCTCTGGTTGAGGTGTGCAAGTTCAGTAGTTGTGGCGCTTGGACTTAGTTAACCCGCGTCATGTGGGGCCTTAGTTCCCCGACCAGGGATCGAACCTGTGTCCCCTGCACTGGAAGGCAGATTCTTTACCACTGGACCACCAGGGAAGTCCCTTACTGTAGATTTTAACCACTGTTTACAGTAGTGTTTCTAGGGGAAAATGCATGTAGAGTTTTACCTTGAGGATATGTTTTTGCCCCCAGGGAAGATTAAGAGACTTCCTGCCACCTACCCAGGGAATAGGAGTGGCATTCCTTCTCTCCTCTAAGCCAGTGACTGGGACTGCCGTTAGGTAGGTAGGAGTTGAACATAGGAGTGGGACAAGGCAGACAAAGGGCTTAGAAATGACATATGGGGATAGGGACTGATCCGAAGAGCTGTGGCAACCAGAGGGTCCTGCCTGCGTGGTCCTTGAGGGGTTTGTCTCAGGCATCGCTTCTTTCCCTCCAGTTCCCGGGCACTTTCCTCCTGTGCTGTAGCTTCCTGCTTCCAACCTGGGCTTCTCTTCTTGGTTTTCTGATGAAATCAATATGTTTTGATTATTTATAGTGTGCCGGGCCTTGCACTGAAGGTTGTACATAAAGTATCTGGAAAAGTGAGACTTAGAAGGATTGAGTAACTTTTATGGGTTAAATGGCTGGTAAGTTGTGGAGCCATGAACCACCCCATCTGCTTGACTCTGGAGCCTAATCCTGAAGTGCAGCACCTCACTGCTTCCTGAAAAAAAGAGCCTCCTTCCTTACTCTTTGACCCTGAAGCAGAAAACAAACTTCGGGGAGAGTTTACTACTGCTGCTGATGAGCAAGTAGGCAGGAACTGTTCCCTGATGAAGCCTCTCCTTCCCTTTTTCCTCTTTACACACCAGTGGAGAAAACACACACAGCAGGCCCGCATGGGAAGTGTGGGCAAGGAGGTCCTGTGTGAGATTTGTGTAAATTGAAGTGTATTTTTACTAAAATGAGGTTATTTACTGACCCTAAACGACTTACTCTTTAAAAACATATGCCCTGACAGCATATGTTCGTTTCCATTTAAATAAGTGATTCCGTATTTATATCACAACACAATAAAGAGTTAATATAATTAAAGCTGTTCTCAGAGTTAAGTCGATTTTTTATCTTGCACCAGAACAGCTTGTTACCACATGACGGAAAACAGCCACACACTGCATCTGATCTGTACGTGGAGCAGCAGTTATTTTAGGTTTGTGCAGTTTCAGGAAAGCAATTTTAAACTGATTCAGAAGTACATTTTCTTAAAAGGTTTTAACTGTTTGTTTTTGACTCTTAATAAATAAATATTCCCTATTTGGAAAATTTCTTTAGAACGACAGCATGTAGTAACTTTACTGAATTAATCTATTTTTTTTACATTTGCAATGATAATCAGCACTGGTTTCTTAGAGCTTTAAGAGAAAAAGTAGTGAATGGTCTCAGGCTTTTTACCATTTGGGAGATTCTTGAATTGCTATATCTAATTTATTAATGGTATGAAACCATTTCATACAAGTGACACTTTAAGCTTATTCAAATGCAAGAGAAACTGATTAGGAATTGGGTAATGTTTCAAAGTATGTGGACTTTTAAATAGCTTTTGTGGTCTTGCAGCTGTTACATGTTGAAATTTTTATAGTTTTTAAGATGAATCTGTTGATATTTGTGTTTTTATAATTCACATTTAGAGAATATATATTTAAGATACAGAAATCCGTAGCCAGTCAACAAAGTGATTGTAACTATATTAAAGTGAGTATAGAATTGATAGCACTTACTAAAAATCAGTTTTATATACATACACATTAACTCATAGAATAGCAATGAAAGAATTTCCCATGCTTTAGTAAGATATATTTTAACTTTATTCTTTAAAAAATCTTACCAGTTTTGCATATGCATTTTACACATTTCAGTGCAGAATCTTTGTCATACTTTACTATGGAAATTGCTGGTGATTTACGTGTAGATTTCTTTGAATATTTCAAGTTTACATTTTAATATATGTGCAGTTTACCTTTCTGTGGAGTCACTCCAAATGACATTTTGGTGAACCTATGTAATTTAGTAGTCTGCTGAGTACAATGTAATATATAAACTTAAAAGTTTTGGAAATCCAAAATTAGATTTTGGAGGTATGTGGTTTCAGAATAGAGGTGATTAGAGGGTAGTGGGTAAGGGAATGGTGATTATTTATCTACTTATTCATTGTAGTACCATGCCGTCTTAATGGACCATCATCCAACACCATAGTTTATGGCTTTCCTTACTTTCATGAAGTCTTTTGGAGTGTGTGTTGGTGGCTACCATTAAAAAATTTTCCCCCTATTTAAAAAAAAAAGGAGGAAGAGCAGTAGTAGAGGAACAACCCTGAAGGAAGTATTGATGACTAGAGTTTGGAAAATCAAATCTTTTTTTTTTAATAAATTTATTTATTTTATTTATGTAATTTTGGCTGTGTTGGGTCTTTGTTGCTGCACACGGGCTTTCTCTAGTTGCGGCGAGTGGGGGCTACTCTTCGTTGCGGTGCGTGGGCTCCTCATTGCAGTGGCTTCTCTTGTTGCAGAGCACAGGCTCTAGGCGTGCTGGCTTCAGTAGTTGTGGCTCACGGGCTCAGTAGTTGTAGCTCATGGCTCTAGAGCGCAGGCTCAGTAGCTGTGGCACACGGGCTTAATTGCTCCGGGGCATGTGGGATCTTCCTGGACCAGGGCTCGAACCCGTGACCCCGGCATTGGCAGGTGGATTCTTAACCACTGCACCACCAGGGAAGCCCTCAATATTAGATTTTAATCTAAAAATTAATGTTTTTAAATTATGGCCAAAATTCTAAACTTTTTTTTTTTAATTGACAACTGGGAGTAGACAGAATAAGCTGAATACAGGACTTTAGTCCTAACAGAAGTATGTGCCCCAAAGTATAAGGCCTTATACTTGTGGTTTTCAGCCTGCAGGTCATGGGTAGAGCCCTCAGAAAGATCCTAACACCCAAGAGTTTGTTCCTGAATGTTTTAGGTTTCAGTCTTTAAGCCCTGCCATTATTCTCCATTTTGTTCATCTGTTCTCTAGTCATCTTTACCTTTTCTTTTTTCTACTATTAGAATTTCCTACTGTTAGGATCATATGCAAATGCTTGCCAAAAATACATTCAAATCCCTCACAAAACAACAGTCAGAACAATAAAGGATAGGGAAGCAAGGGAGAGGGAAAAAAGGCAATAGGCAATGAAACCAAGCATGTTCAATGTCTTTGACATTTGCCATCTGTCGAGGGAGGTCACTTTTCTGATTCTCATTAAACAGTTGCCTGACTGGCTTTTTTGGTCCTGAAAATATGTTTATTTTAATGACTGTATTGAGACTAACTTTTCATTCAGAATTTTTAAGGGAGTTACTATATTCGTGGGTATTTTGCTTATATTTTTCTTGTTCTTAGGGAATAAAATGTTTACAATTTAGATAATTTTTATTATAAAATGCAATTCTAGGGCTTCCCTGGTGGCGCAGTGGTTGAGAGTCCGCCTGCCGATGCAGGGGACACGGGTTCATGCCCCGGTCTGGGAAGATCCCACATGCTGCGGAGCGGCTGGGCCCGTGAGCCAGGGCCACTGAGCCTGCGCGTCCGGAGCCTGTGCTCCACAATGGGAGAGGCCACAACAATGAGAGGCCCACGTACCGAAAAAAAAAAAAAAATGCAATTCTAAGCTAATTGTTGAACTGTAACATTGGAATTACTTAGCGTTTTATTTTATTACAAGGACAAATGAGAAGCAGTAGGTTTAACAGCATAGGGAAGGATTTTTTTTTTTTTTTTTTTCAGATGCTTCCCCTAATGACTCTCTCCCCAGGCCTTAGGCCAACCCTCCACCCTCTCTCCATATTTAAACTACAATACCAGTCGTGGGCAGAAACAAAAGAAAGGGGGCTTCCCTCGTGGCGCAGCGTTAAGAATCCGCCTGCCAATGCAGGGGACATGGGTTCGAGCCCTTGTCTGGGAAGATCCCACGTGCTGCAGAGTGACTAAGCCTGGGCACCACAACTACTGAGCCTGCGCACCTAGAGCCCATGCTCTGCAACAAAAGAAGCCACCACAATGAGAAGCCTGTGCGCCGCAACTAAGAGTAGCCCCCACTCACTGCAACTAGAGAAAGCCCATGGGCAGCAATGAAGACACAATGCAACCAAAAATAAAAAACAAATAAATAAAATTTAAAAATAAAAAAAACTTTTTTTAAGTTAAAAAAAAAAAGAAACGAAAGAAGGAAACAAGAAAGGCAGAGAAGAGAAATGAATTCTGGAGGGGAAAGCCTGAATTCTTCTAAGAGTTTTTTTCTAAGAGGTTGCACATTTTGGAGTGCTTTTTAAAGGCAATACGGTAATGGACAGAATTTTACTTAACGAGATTTGCAAAAATACTTAAGAATGAAAGTGCTATAAAGTTCAATGCACCCAGAAACAATTTGCTAAGGAAGTCCCAGTGTTTTCTAATGAACAGCATCATTTATTTCAATTATTTTGACAATGTGGCCAAGTTATCCTTAAGAACAGAAAATGGCATTAAAAGAATTTGAAACCAGAGACAGAATTATCTATTCAACTTATGTATTAGCTGAAATGTGCTGTTAAAAGGTGACCCATATAAAAAGTGGCTATTCCCTCTCAAGAAGTTGAGGATTTAATCATACATGAGAATATCCTAAAATATACCTTTAATATCACCCTAAAAATATACTAAAATTTACATTGGTTTTTCCATTTTTCTTCTAGAAATGACAGTATATTAAAAATCCCCTGGGATCCCCTGTCCTCGGGATGTTGCAAAATCTTGGGCAGGAATGGAGGAAAGGGAAAGGTAACAGCACAGAGATGTAATACAATGTCAAGTGCTCTGATCACTAGGGATGTAGTATAGTGGTTAAGTGTGGAAGAGAGTTACACGAACTTAGCTAGAAAGTGGAACAGCCAGGATCTAAACTTATGTTCCTGGGACTTCCCTGGTGACACAGTGGATGACACTCTGTGCTCCCAATGCAGGGGGCCTGGGTTTGATCCCTGGTCAGGGAACTGGATTCCCACGTGCATGCCACAAATAAGAGTTTGCATGCCACAACTAAGGAGCCTGTGTGCCGCAACTAAGGAGTCCACGTCCTGCAGCTAAGGAGCCAGCAAGCCACAACTAAGGAGCCCACCTGCTGCAACCAAGACCCAGTGCAACCAAATTAGTTAATTAAAAAAAAAAACTTATGTTCCCTAATGCCCCTGAGCCTGTTTTCTTACTGCTACGGTGGCGATGCTCCCCCTGTGCATAGGGTTGACAGGAGGGTTAAATGGGAAAATATATGAAATAGTACCTGCCCAAGTAAGCACTCAGTAAATGATGGCTGTGTCATAAAGTAATACTGTAAAAGAAAAATTAGTATGAGAACTTAAAGGGGTATATGCATATACTAAAAATAATTTTTATATATGCCAATTATATATAAATTGATGATCAGTTGGAAATTCTGTGATAAAGAGGGTCTCATATATAATGCTTATTGCAAAATGATTCATTGACTTATTATTTTAGGTACCAAAGCAGTCAGACTCACAACCTCATTCTGATAACCCAAGTCGCCAAGGTGAATGTGGGAAGAAGCAAGTATCTTACAGAACTGACATTGTTGGTGGTGTGCCCATCATTACCCCAACTCAGGTAATAAATTAATTCTTCTATTGTGTGATGGTTTAACTACTGCATATTGATTTTTGTATTGCTATCAAAAGTCAAACAGTACATCTTTACTGAATTAATGCAATAATTAATACAAAAATTTTATATTTATTTCTTATTTCAGATATATGTTTTTATTGTAAAATATCTGGAAAGCATAAACAACATTTAACACTTTTCATGTTTTCTTCTGAGCCTTTCTTTGTACTTTTGCCCCTAGCAATGGGGATACTTTGTAAACAGCTTTTTTCACTTACATCTCAAACATTTTCCAAGTCATCAAAAATTATTTCATGTCATTTTTCATGACTGTGTAGTAGTTTTGCCATGAATTTACTATAAATCACAAACCCTCTGTGGTTGGACAGAGTTCTTTTTCCTTTCTCTTTCCTTTTCTCTTTTACAAACAATGTAAGTGTTGTAGGAAGGGGGACCCCTTCCAGGGCCCAAGAGTAGGCTCTTGTCTAACACCCGGAAATGAATTGTCTGAGGAGACACACGTGCTGACAAAGCAAGAAACTTTATTGGGAAGGGGTGCCCAGGTGGAGAGTGGCAGGGTAAGGGAACCCAGGAGAAGTGCTCTGCCACATGGCTCACAGTCTCAGGGTTTATGGTGATGGGGTTAGTTTTGGGGTTGTCTCTGGCCAATCACTCTGACTCAGGGTTCTTCCTGGTGGCGCGTGCATCGCTCAGCCAAGATGAATTCCAGTGAGAAGGATTCTGGGAGGTTGGTAGGGTATACGGACTGGCGTCTCCTCTGTCCTTTAGATATTTCCCGAATTCTTCTGGTTGGTGGTAGCTTGTTAGTTCTATGTTCCATACCAGGACCTCCTGTTGTAAGATAACTCATGCAAGTGGTTACTATCGTGCCTGGCCAGAGTGGGCGGTTTTGGTCAGTGGCTCCCCTAACAGAAGTAGGAAAAACCCACTCTTCCTCCTGTGTTTCTCCTGTACTCTCACACTGCTACACTCACAACACTTCTGACACGAGATGAGTGGGTTTTTTCCCCTACACAAGCAATGCTGTGACACCAGCTGGGTGTCCGACAATTTAACTCAATTCTGACACTGCCTATCTGGATCCCACAGGTGAAGGGCTCAGTCCCACAAGACTGCCCCTCCACCCCCTTCAGATGTCAGTAAGTCCACGTTGTTACCTGTGCTTCTGACTGATGGGCTATAAATTCGAGGTTCCTGTGGCCCCCTTATTGGGTTCAATTAGTTTGCTAAAGCAGCTCACAGAACTTAGGAAAACAGTTTAATTACTGTATACCTGTTTATTGTAAAAGGATATGGTAAAGGATACAGATGAACATTCAGACAGAAGAGGTGTGTAGGGCAAGGTATGTGGGAAGGGGTGTGGAGCTTCCATGCCTTCTTTGGGTGCACCATTCTCCCAGTACCTCCATTAATTCACTAACGCAGAAGCTTTCTGAATTCCATATTGTAGGGATTTTTATGGAGGCGTCATCAAGTAGGCATGATTGATCATCCACTCTGTTTCCAGCCCCTCTCCCCTCTCTAGAGAGTAGGGAATGGGGCTGAAAATTCCAAGCCTTTAATCATGACTTGGTCTTTCTGGTGACTATCCCCCATTCAGGAGTCCACCAAGAGTCACCTTATTAGAACAAAAGACATGCTGTCACCCAGGAAATTCCAAGGGATTTATGAACTCTTTGTCAGGAAATAGGGTCAAAGACCAAATATTAGCACAAAAGATGCCTCTAGTGCTCTTATCACTTAGGAAATTACAAGGGTTTTAGGAGCCCTGTGCCAGGAAGTGTGGGGCAGGTGGGGGCAACGAGATATTTTCCATTATCTCGTAAATGCTTTGATGAACATGCTTGTAGCATAAACTTTAGAGCCATAGATAATATGTTTTAAAGGATAAACTCCTGGAGAGAAAATTGCCAAGTCAAAGTGTTTGTAAATATGTGTAATTTTTTAAACCTGTTTTTCTACAACCTGGCCTAGATGAACTAAACAGAAGACTGGAATTTTAAGTCAGTTCTATCCCCAAAGTACTGGTATGCTGAATTAATTCTTACTCTTGGGTATTATGGAAAATATAAATTTATTTTAAAGTTTTTGATGAAATTAAAACTTGTATGCACTTAAATTTCGTGGGTTGCTCTTAAGTAAATGAGTTTGTAATGCAAATTAAATTACTAGCAGTTGAGAAACTAAGAATTTTAAGGTAATTAATTGATATTGCCAATGTTAGGCATTTTCATTACCTGTGTGCCTTTTTGTACTTAAAAGACTTATTAGTTAATTAATTATTGAGTGCTTTCTTTATGCTAGACAGAGGATATATGTATTAATGAGCAAAAATTCCCTGCCCTAATGGGAGGTTACATTTTTCACCAAAGTTGGATAAAAAATAAACTAGGAATTTGTGTGTGTGTGTGTGTGTGTGTGTGTGTGTGTGTGTGTGTATTTACTTTTTTAAAAAAGTAATGATTTTAACCTGTAAGACTTCTGGTTAAGATAGAGCTAGACTAAGCTGCTTTCACCTGTATTATGTCTTGTGTTGATAGAAGAGCTAAGACAGTTTGTCTTTAGTTGTATTAAGATATTGTAGTTTTTTGTATCTGTGGCTGTCTTAATTTTGTATAGAATTAAGATTTGTGTTTTAATTTTGGTATCGATTATTCAGTAGGTTCTAAGAGCGTATGGCAGGTGCAATATTAAAAAGATCCCAAAGAATTGTATTGCTTTATCATTTTACAATATAGTTTATTTAAAGTAGTATTTACTCATTATAAAAGCATTCAGATAACAGTAACAAAATGACATCTAATTTGCATGATTAATTTATTCAGTAACTATTGGTTTAGCAGGTTAAGTGCTAGGATTACAAAGTTAAGTACATAGTTAGTGCTGTTGACCTGTCTAAATGTAGAACAGATTGAAAATTCCCTAAGATATGACTTGAGTACTTAGTTTTTCTCTCGAGATTTAGGAGTTCTTGAAAATACACCTTTGCTTGATTTGTAGAATAGATTATCACCTGTGTTGTACGTTATAAATAAACAGGAGGCTAATGCTTTGGGGAACATGAAAACCTGAGTATAGTTAGGTTTTTAAAAGCACTGGACTGAACTGTTAAAAAAAAAAAATTAAAACTGTGAAACTTTTAGAAAATAGCAAAGGAGAAAATCTTGAGGATCTAGGACTAGGTGAAGAGTTTTTAGACTTGACATCAAAAGCACAATCTATATAAAGGGAAAAAATTGATAAATTGAACCTTATCAAAATTAAAAATGTTTTGTCTGTTGAGGATGAAAAGAAAAGCACCATGCTGGGAGAAAATATTTGCAAAACCACATATACAGCAAAGCACTTGTATCTAGAAGATATAAAGAACTATCAAAACTCAATAGTAAAAATACCAAACAGTTCAGTTAGAAAATGGGCAAAATTCATGAACAGAGATTTCATCAAAAGATAAAAGATATGGGCTTCCCTGGTGGTGCAATGGTTGGGAGTCCGCCTGCTGATGCAGGGGACACGGGTTCATGCCCCGGTCTGGGGAGATCCCACGTGCCGCAGAGCGGCTGGGCCCATGAGCCATGGCCGCTGAACCTGCGCGTCCGGAGCCTGTGCTCTGCAGCGGGAGAGGCCACAGCAGTGAGAGGCCCGCATACCGCAAAAAAAAAAAAAAAAAAAAAGTGCTAGGAAGGATATTCACCATCATTAGCCAGTAAGGAAATGCAAATTAAGACCACAATGAGATATCATCATATAGCTATCAGAATGACTCAACTAAAAATTAATGATAACACAAATGCTGGCAAAGCTGAGGAGAAACTGAATCACTCATACATAACTGGTGGGAATGTAAAATTGTACAGCCACTCTGAAAAGAGTTTGGCAGTTTTTTATAAAAGTAAACTTGCAATCAGTGTATTAACCTAGGATTTGCACTCCTAGGCATTTATCCTAAAGAAATGAAGACTTATGTTCACATGGAAACAGCATGAAAGTTCACACAGAAACAGCGTGAACGTTCACAGCAGCTTTATTCCTAATAGCCCAAATGTGGTAACAACCCAAGTGCCATTTCAGTGGGTGAATTAGCCAGTGGTACATCCAAACCATGAATACTACTCTCAATGAGAAGGGTCAGACAGTTGGTACAAGGACCAACCTGGATGAATCTCCAAAGTGAATGCAGAGTGAAAAAAGACCATCTCAAAAGCTCACCTACTGTATGATTCCATTTATATTAAATTCTCTAAATGTCAAAATAATAAAGATGGAGAACAAATTAGCAGCTGCCAAGGAACTGGGGAGAGAAGCTCTAAAAGGGTAGCCCAGGGGAGCCTATCGTGAACACTCTGTACATTGGCTCTGGTGGTGGTTACAGAGATCTGGCAATAAAATTGCATAATATACAGAGACAATGAATGCATGTAAAATGGGTGAGATATGAAAAATTGCATAGAATGATATATACAGAGACAATGAATGCCTGTAAAACGGATGAGATATGAATAAGGTCTGCGAAACGTTTCGGTGTCAGTTTTGATAATGTGCTATAGTTATACAGTTTCCCTGTTGAGGGAAACCGGTTGAAGGGTACATAGGACCTCCTGTACATTGTTTTTTACAACTTCCTGTGAATCTTTATAATTATTTCAAAATTAAAAGTTATACCCCCCCATCCAGCGCCCCCCCCCCCACAGCAAAACAAAAACCAAAAAACACTGGTGGCAGGACTTTTGCAGAAAAAGAGAAATAGAAATCTGTGGTTTAATCAGTGGTATTGAAAGCTATGATTAAGTATCTCAAATTAATTAGAAAACTCTTTACTCCAAGATCCGTGTTTCTAACTGAACTAAGATAGATTTTAAGATTTTTCTACTAGAATGACACCGTGAACTACAAGTATGCTTTGAAGGTAAACAAGCAAAAAAGGAATATCTTTATTTTGCTTCATTTTAGAAAGAAGAAGTAAATGAATGTGGTGAAAGTATTGACAGAAATAATTTGAAGCGGTCACAAAGCCATCTTCCTTACTTTACTCCTAAACCGTCTTCGGATAGTGCAGTTATCAAAGCTGGATATTGTGTAAAACAAGGAGCAGTGGTGAGTAGTTTAACAAAATATGTGAAGTAATGAAAAATGAGTATATATTAGCAAACTCTCAAAATGGGTTAGGGTTAGGGTTTGCTTTGTTTTTTGAAAGATCCAAAGTGAAAGACCAGCTTACTGACCAGGTGTCATCGGATAGAATAGGGGTTATTCTGTGTTCAAAACTCAGTGCTATTATTTTCTTGGTCTGTGGGTGGCTGGATAAGTTAATGCTTATTACCACTAACCTTCAATTTTAACTGAGCTTCCTAACAGCTTAAATTTATTCCAGAAAGTTTTTCTGTTGATTTTTTTTTTTTACCCCCTTGGGAATAGGTCAGGGAAAGGGAGCTCTAGTAGGGAGATTGGCAGGAAAGGGGAGACCAGGGGAGCAGGGTGTGGAAGGATCACTTACTTGATACGGGGTTGGGCCGACCCCAGTTGAAAACACTGAGACCTTGGGCTACTTAACCTCTCAGGCTCTCAGTTTCTTTTTATGGAAAATTATATTGTAAAACCTACCATCCAGAGGTCTTTTTTGAAAGATATAAATAGAAAGCACTTAGCATAGCACCTGGTCCTTAGTAAGAGCTATTACATCTTGGCCCAGATAGTCTCACACAACCAGATCCATAATGGTGAATTGTGGGAAGAGCAAGTAAATTTACCAGTGTTTATGAATCCAGAATACCTTTCTAAAATGTGAACTAAATCTATAGACTTTCATGAGAAAATAAACTTCAAAGTTTAAAAATAAAATTTTAAAATTTCTGTGAGTAAAGAAGTACTTAAATGTCTACTGGCGGTTCTGCTTGACCTCACCTGGCTCCTGGCAAGTCTGATTAGCTTAGGTCAGCCAGAGGAAGGTTCTTTCAGCCCTAATTGTGCGATCTTCTTTAGGCTGAAGGTTTTTCATTCCAGCGTGTCTACAGGTAACATCAGAATTCTCATCAGGTCGAGTGTTAATTAGGGCTTTTAAAGAGACATTCCTTTCTTTTTGTTTTACTCTTAAATCCAAAATACTAACTAACCCTTAGAGATATTGAAGCACTTTCACAAAAGCTATATTTCATTGACAGAAAATATTTGTACAAAGCATATTCACTTTATTAAATATGTGTTGCTTTCCTTCTTAGTATCATAAAGTACCTACAGAAGGATTCATGCATTTTACAGATGAGAAGCTTGATGTGGTTTAATAACATTTCCTGTGCTTGTTGTTGAACTCTTGGTAACATTTACTTTGTGGGGGATGGGGAAGTGCTTTTTTTTTTTTTTTTTAAACTTTTAGAGCATAAAAAAAATAAGACCATATTATAAAATCATACAGTAAGAGCTGAAAGCCAGCCACCAGAGTTGAATTAGGGGTTCAAGGCCTGAGTAGCAAAAGAGATGAAATTTCCTGTACCTCCTCACTAAGGGATGATAGTAAGGTTTTCCAGTGCTTGACATTTCTGATTGTGGGTTCATATCAAAATAATTAAGTTGTTATTAACATTTGATATTCTTAGAAACAGAAGTTTTATGTCTGTGTTCATCTCTGATAGATGAAAAACTGGAAGAGAAGATATTTTCAATTGGATGAAAACACAATAGGCTACTTCAAATCTGAACTGGTATGTTGCTGAGTCATGAATGTTGCTTTAAAAATGTTTGACAAGTGTTACACTGTGGTGATTATATAATTTCTTGTCCTGTTTTCTATTTTTAAAATAATTAACTTCTGGTTTTGAGAGGTATATACAGTTCAGTTTATTTTGTTGTGATGCTTTTGGTTAATGGTATTTTTGTTAAATACGTCTTAAATAAAAAGAGTGTATCTTCAAAGGCATTCTACCTTGAAAGAATTAAAAATATCCGAACCCCTCGGTCTACAGATTTCCTCTGAAGGCATTGGAGGAGGTGGTAGAAAGAATTAAGTCTCTGAAAGTCAACATTTGACCCTCTGATTTCTGCCTTCTCTTCCCTGCCCTCTCTTGATATTTTCTTTTCCTATTTCAGATGGACTTTTAAGTTTCTTCGTATAAGATATTTTTGTCCTATCTGAAGGTAGAATCAAAGATTGAAGGTCCATCTTTCACTTGTTTGAGTAACATCCTTACTTAAAATACTCCTGTCATGTGACCTGAGTTCTGCAATAGATTGTTGGATAAATTGAGTGCGATTCTACCTCTTCTTTTTATGGGACATTTGAGGGGGGAACTGTACATTTTATTTGAATGACGGTACCAGAACAGCACTGTCCAGCTGAACTCTGCACTGATAGGAATGTTCCATTATCTGCATTGGCCACGTCTACTGGTTACATGTGGCTGTTGAGCACTGGAAATATGGCTAGTGTGACTGAGGAACCTGACTGTATTTAATTTTAAAATTAAAACCGGTTGTATTTGGTATTCGTTAATTTAAATTCAAGTAGTTACACATAGCTAGTGGCTACTCTATTGGACAACAGAGCACTGGAGAATAGGAAGGGAATATTTTAAGATTCATCTCAGGTGTCTGTTCTTCTGGAAAGCTTTTGGACTCTGGATTTAGTGGCTTCTCTTTACATACATGGAACCTGATGCCCACTTCTGTCATAATACTTCCCACTGTGTTTTGTAATTGTTTGCATACTTGTCTTTACCATTTAATTGCATGAGCTTCTTGAGAGCAAAGATTCTCTTTTGTACCCTTTTATGAACACAGCACCAGGTACTTAGAAAATAATAAGTGTTTTTGAATGAATAAAAAAATGACGTAGCATAACAAGAATAGCCATTTTAGCATGGGACCCTTTCTTAGACTTCAAAACCTAAGAGCCTCAGTTGGAAGCAGTAGTTATTTGGTTCAAAAAGTACCAGGCTTGGTGTCTCAGAAGCTACCCTTGTGCTTGGTTGGCAGGTTGATTCGTTGCTTTCAGTTAATGCCAGTCCTCTGGGAGGAGTCCTTCCTGCACCAGACGTTCATTGAGCTCTCTATGGCCCTGGTGCACTGGGAACTGGGAATAAAGAGGGCAGTCAGTGATGTCTGGCCTTCAGGAGTTCAGTTTTACCAGAGAAATTGACATGTCCCCTTGTCATCCACAGTAGTTATAATGAGACAAGAACTATTATAGAAATATTTACTATAATTTGAAAACCTGCATGTGGATATTATGCTATAAAGTTTGAGATGAAAGAATACTTGAACTATCATAGGAGGTAGGGAAATTATATTATGTGTATTCAGGAATATGTTAAGTATTTAGCAAACACAGATAAAGCTGAACACTTTAAATATAATTATTGACCTTTATCAGTTACTAAGATGCACATCCCCTCCCCCCATTTTAACATTTCTGAAATCTTCAGGTCTCTTAGGGTTGCTGAAGGTGAGGGAGCCAGGCAGCAGCTGTGCTGTAGTTGTCATTGCCTGTGTGTGCACAGCACCTTTGGGTAAGATCAGAAGACACCAGCATCAAAACCTGCAGAAAAGGGTGCTGGCAGTTGGAAGAAAATCTCAGGGACACAGTGTGGGAGATTCTTAGGAAATGCTATATTATCACCAGTGCTCTTTCTGGCCCAGAGAATAGTATGGAGTGAAAAACACTGAGATTGATGGCTTCTAGTCAGAAAGTGAGCTGGGATCAGAATGTGAGGTTTTAAAAAACCTTAACCCATTTATTTTGCCTCTATATTTTTATATATGCTCAAGGATAATATATGATAAAAGTTGATGTTTAAAGTATAAAAGGGCTCTTTTACAAAACCTTTTGATCATGGAAAAGTTTGAACATAAAGTAAATAAATAGAATAGTATTCTGAACCCCTGTATAGCCATCACCCAGATCGCATAATTGTCAACACATGACTAGTTTTGTTTCTTCTGTACCACCACCTACTTCTCCCTTCCTATTCTGAAGCAAATATTAGGCATATCATTTCATCTGTAAATATTTTTGTATGTTTCTCTGAAAGATAAGAATTTAAAAGTTTCTTTCAGTAGGTATAAAAGATTTCAGCAGACAAGAAAAACGAGAAAATATTTAATAACATATATCACAGATAAAACATTAATATCTGTAATATGTAAAGCACCTTAAAAATTGGGGGATCCTTCGTCACCCTGTTTTCCCTCTTTTCCTCCCATCAGTTCCTAACAATTCAGATGTAAATTTTCTAGGCGAGGCCCATCAATGCAGGTGGCCCTGGTGTTGGTGCAGGAGCAGGAAGGAGTGTCTGGAGTGGCAGCCAGCCGGTGTGGGCGGCCAGAGCCACGCAGGCGAAGAGGCCGTCCTAGAGCTTACCTGCAAATGAGTTATTTTCTAAAACTTAAAAAATAGATTTTGGTTTTAAAAAAGTGTTCAGCCATGATTTAATTATTTTCTTAGTACTGCATAAAGTAATGGTATGTCTTAAACTCATGGTGTCGTTTTCAGTGAAATACAGTGTATAGTATTTCATGAAATGTTTACTGTAAGTACTGTGCTAACTAGGAGCTAGTTATATCTTATGTGTGAACCTTATATCTAGTTTTGTAACCTTAGGTGAGGTACTTAATATGGCTAATCCTGTTTCCTCAGGTGAGTAATAGTGCATGTATTCTAGGGTTGTGGAAAGTGAGATAACACATTTAAAACATAGCAGATGTCCTGGCACTTAGTAAGTGTTTAATAAATTGTGCTTGTTAAAATGATGTGTTCATATAAAAGCGATATTCCTAAAATGACAAATTTAACTCAAAGAAGCTGGGTATTCACTACTCTGCTACCCTCTGTATGAAAATAACATTCCAAAATAGGAAGTACTCCACTTACTGGGTATATAGGGGTTCATCAAGGAAAAGTCTGGTGGTTAATGGTTTTTAATAAGCTACACTGTCATTTAGCACATAAATAATATCAACATGGGTTATATGCCGTTTCCTTGTTTCAAATCACAGTGTGTATCAGGTTATAGTATTTGAGCTATTCTGATGCTGGATGGTTCAAGAAGGTAGATTTATGTCTTAGATGTGCTTCAGGAAAGAAGCATGATTTTCGCATAGAGCTCTAAATAAAACAACTAATGCTTAAAAGCATTTTAAGAATATATGTCATGTATCTGTTTATTTGCTTTTTTTGACAGGAAAAGGAACCTCTCCGTGTAATACCACTTAAAGAGGTTCATAAAGTCCAGGAATGTAAGCAGAGGTAAGCACCACCTCTGACTTGGTGCCTGGCACAACTTATTATTACACAATATATAATTCCTTAGTTTAACTGATGTACTTACAGATGATATTTTTCTGTGTTATTGCTAGTGGGTTATGCTAAAACTTTCAAAACCTTCAGATGAAACAGAGTATTGAGATATTTTTGTTTGAAAACTACAAATTAGGAAACAGTTCTTAAGTTTATTAATGGAAAGGGGAAAATTTAAAGTGAACAGCTATCATATTTGACAAATTGATGTATTATTAATTCTAGTATTTCAGGGTTGCTGCAGAATAGAGCTTTATAAGAATGTTAACTGTGCCATTGTTTCTTTGAGCAAGCTGATTTCTTCACAGTTGAAAACTGAATTTTAAAGTTGTTTTATGAACCTTTCTAAAAATACATACAACTATATAAAATATGTAAAATTTAATGCAAAAATAAATTGGAAAACGATCACTTACTATTTCTCAAATCAGTATTTTATCTCTAATGTTTATTTTCTCATTGACACATATTTGGTACTGGGTAAAGAAGTGAAAGGAAAACTATCAAACAACTGCTATTTAAGTACAATTGGAAAATTTTTTTTGTTAACAGTGACATAATGATGAGAGACAACCTCTTTGAAATTGTAACATCGTCTCGAACTTTCTATGTGCAGGTAGGATACTTCTTTGGAGATTATAGATCCTCCTAACAAGAAATAAATAATTTTAGAGGTGAAATAAACATAAATAAATGTGTTGCTCATAAAAATAAGCAAAAAATATGACAAATATAATTGCCAATTTAATAAAAAATGTTATATATAAGATTATTGGCAGGTCATATGTTCAGCCAATGGGGTATTCTTTGCTGTAAGTTAGTCAAATGGAATTAAGTTTTATTTGGAGGAAGGGAAGTGCTATTTAAGTTAGATGCTAAGTGTGTACTTTCAATTTGGATTATTTTTGCACATATTTTGGAATTTTAATTATATCACCTTTTGGTAATTTTATAAGAAGGGGGGCTCAAATATCCATAATAAAAGTACACAGTATATCTTATCATTTCACTAATGGTAGAGAGTATCCTATGTTTAAGTTTAAAATACACTTTTTACTTAACACATTTATTTAGATTAGAAGTTTTTGAAAAGAACATTGATTTTGTTTTATAAAAGTTATTACATATGCTTATTGCAGAAAATTTAGAAAATACAGAAATATGAAGAAAAAGTGTTTTATAAACCATATAGAATTCCACATTCAGGCAACTATTCTTTTTTTCTTTTTTTTTTCCTTTATTAGAGCATATCTTTTTATAACAAATGGGATTATATGATATCAATATAGTGTTATATCCTATTTGTTTACTATATTATAGTCATTTTTTTCTACATTGAAAATTCTCTTGGGCTTCCCTGGTGGCGCAGTGGTTGAGAGTCCACCTGCCGATGCAGGGGACACGGGTTCGTGCCCCAGTCCGGGAAGATACCACCTGCCGCGGAGCAGCTGGGCCCGTGAGCCATGGCCGCTGAGCCTGCGCGTCCGGAGCCTGTGCTCCGCAGCGGGAGAGGCCACAACAGTGAGAGAGGCCTGCGTACCACAAAAAAAAAAAAACAAAAAAAAACCAATTCTCTGAAAACCTTTTAGAACTATGCTCTCTTATATGAATGTTTCACAATTAAACTGTTTCTCTACTGTACTGTTACTGATAACTCATTTACATAGTTTTTGTACATTTACTGTGATTTAATGTGGTAGTGCACATTTTGTGCATAAATTTGCCTGAATTTCTTCTTTACAGTACGTTTTTAGATCGAGGGTAACTCTCAGAGCGTGAGCTTTTTTTCAACCTCTTTATTTTGCCAAATTGACTTCTAGACTGGTGCTCCTGTTTGTAGTGAATGAAAGTATACTCTACCTTTGCCTACTTTGAGTTTTTCCTTTTAAAAACTCTTTGTTAATATCATTGGTTCAAAAATATTACTTGTATCTTTAAAATTTTTAAACTACTAGATAGTAGAACCCAGAAGTAAAGGGCAATACCTCTCCACCCCTCTGAGGGCCTTGTTTAATTGGATTAAAGTCATAGTAAGGTTTTTAATTCACATTGGAAGTCATGGTCCTATCAAGGAAGATGATGCTTTGGAATATGACGATTTAGGGTACTGTTAGAAATTATTATTTTTTTTATTTATTTTTTTTGCGGTACGCGGGCCTCTCACTGTTGTGGCCTCTCCCGTTGCGGAGCACAGGCTCCGGACGCGCAGGCTCAGCGGCCATGGCTCAGGGGCCCAGCCGCTCCGCGGCACGTGGGATCTTCCCGGACCGGGGCACGAACCCGTGTCCCCTGCATCGGCAGGCGGACTCTCAACCACTGCGCCACCAGGGAAGCCCTAGAAATTATTTTTAGAAAAATAACATATAAAATGATGTCACAGTGGATTTTTAACTGCACAGTTACATAAATATTCATCTTGAAAATTCAGACAGTATAGCAGTAGAAATGAGAAGGTCTTTCTTTGACTTCTTCCTCTTCTTGTTTTCTCTCCATAATTATTCATATTGACACTTTTTGATGTGTGTCATCTTAAAACATTACATGCCCAACTTACATCTCTGTAAGTTACCCAGCAAAACCTGGTTTAAAAAAGTGATTTGTAAAAGTTTTTGGAAACCATTGCCTTAGAATGATTTTGTTGTTGATACTGTTAATTACCAAAATGAATACATTGGATTTATAGACATAGGAGCTGATTTTGAGGAAAAATTGAATGAATCCTTCCTTCCCCTTAGGCTGATAGCCCTGAAGAGATGCACAGTTGGATTAAAGCAGTCTCTGGTGCCATTGTAGCACAGCGGGGACCTGGCAGATCAGCGTCTTCTGTATGTTTCCTGTTCTCTGGGGTGATACTCCCTTGGGTCCCCTGATCCTGTCAAGTTATTTTTCTTCCTCTCCCCCTAATCCTTTCAGTTTCTTTCTGTTTTGAGATTTATCTGCATGTTGACTTTCATACCAATTGGACTTGCAAAAAAAATAATGCATTTCTAATTTAATGCTTCCTGTAGTGTTATGTATACATAACTTTCTGTGCATTGTATTGTCTTAAATGCACAAGCAGGGCAACTAAAGAATGAACATTTCCTTGTTTTGTTTTAGGAGTTCTTACTTGTCAGTAGGTCCAGATTTGATATAATTTTACCAATTCTTAGTATGGTATTTGGCCTAATCATGTAAGGCACCTTTAGTTGTAGCATTCACAGTTTTGTGAAGGTCTCAATTTCCTTTTTACTTCCTATAGTTTCAGTTTAGGTTTTTTTTGCCTTACTAGTGCTGTAAGACAGTTGAGCAGCTTGAACTTTAAATATAATCTAGTGTTCTCAGTCAGTATTTTCCATTTCATTCTCATTTTTTACTAGGTTAATTTAAAAGGCTGCTTTTTACTATCTTAATTATCTTTTTGGTAGTATAATAATAAAATTAAAACAGCTAAACATTCTCAGATAGTAAGGAAAATGTCTTTACTTTTTAATTTATCATGTACAAGTTCATCATAGGAATAAGATTTAGCTTTGGAATACTTTGGTCACTGATCTCTGATCTGAAAATACAAATTCTACTAAGGAATGAAAAACTTTGAAGCGCCTTGAAATGCAGCACATCGGTCTGCAGAAGATAGTCTAACATGGAGCATGATAGCCTTTAGTATCTAGACTCACTGATGCTGGATAGTCTGCACTTCCAGTATTTTCCTGCATTTCTAGTATTGCAGTAATATTGTCTTTTAATCGTTTCTTGTTAGAAATGACTCTAGATCAGTAAATACAAATCCATTTTTCTCACTTTTAAAGTTATTCTTCTTGTATCCTGTTTGGAATGTCTCAGAAATTATTTTCATAGGTGTTAATTTTGTAACTGTCTGTGTTTTATGTGACCTTTTCAGCAGTCAAGTATGAGACTCTCTGCAAAAACAATGTCTGTTGGGAAGAGGAAAAGTTGGAGAAGGGCGTTTGTGTTTTGTGCTTTGTGGTGGGGGCAGATTGGACTCTCTAAGCTGTAACTATCAGCGGAACTTTCTCTTCCCCCCCTCCAGTACAGGTTAACTCTAATCTTAGCTTTGCACTGTGTTCCAGATGCGGCAGGCCAGAAGGCTGTCGAATCCTTGTATACAGAGGTATACGTCCAGAACTGGGGAATGCAGCACGTATGTGGGCTCTCACGCAAACGTGCCTTCTTACTAGAGGGCCCGGACTTACTCACTACTTAACAGCTGATTCTGGAAAGTTGAGTTAACTAAACTGCCTTCTGCAGTTATCATAACTGATTTTTGTCAACACTAACGCAAACTATTTCACTACAGTCATCAGGTTGGATACGGATATTAAAAAATAAATAAATAATGAAAAAAAGACAACTTTACTAATTTAAAAAGTCATATCTACTAAAGCTTAATTTACTGAATTGCCACAAGAGTTTCAATTTCTGTGTTTCGTGTATTTTGAAATTTTTTATACTACACCACTTAAAATGCACCTTTGTGGTAACAGTTTGCTCAGACTCACAGGTGCACATGCATTGGATAAACTCTACGTTAGTATAGTGTGCATGGTGTATTAAATCTCAGGTGAAATTCAGCCATCTAATGGGAATCTAGAGTGTTTTAGTGGTTTGTAGCACTTTGTTTTCAAAGCCACTAATGTCACAAATGAACACAGTATACTAGGAGCTATATGGCCGTGCGTTCGGAATATGGCCGTATTTCAGGCTGTCTTCAGATTTGGTTTACTTAGAAGCGTATTGAAATGAATATTCACAACTGAAATTATTTCACCACAGTTTTAATAAGTGCTTAAATATGTACCCTTCTCTGCCTTTAAAATCTTAAACCATATGAATGTATGCCATATGCAAAAATAAAGAAATGCAATTAAATAAGAAGTGAAAAGACTACGATATTATTGCTTGCAGTGGAATTCAGGGAACCAAAAACTTAAGTTCGTGAGGCTGCCAGACAAAATAATAGGTTTGAAAAATGTTGAGTTTTGCTTATTAAAGAGATAATGGCCTTTTATTTTTATATTCTGCATTTTCATTTTTTAATCTTTCTAAAATGTGTGGGATAATTCCTAGTGTTTATTGAGAATAAACTCTTAAATAAAATGGTAGCACTGGTAGGCCCCCTGTTAAACGCAGTTCAGTTACAGTCGGCACTGCATTCCCATTTAGGCTGACTGAGGTCAGAGATACCAACTTTGGCTTCAGAAAAAAGAACTGTTTTTCTTAGTGGGAGTGGTTGTTGGCTGTCATCGCTCTAAACTCACTCCTAAAAATGCATTGCTTTGGGAAGGAACTTGCACATGTATGCTGCATGGCTCATGCTTCTGCTCTGTGTGTGTGTGTTTTGTTCTGTTTGTTTTTCAGAGAATAAAGTCTCACATTGAGTTACTAGCCTTGCCGTTAATGATTGCCCGTGTCTGACCAGCACCCCTCTTTGCAGGAGCATTCCCGCTGTCCTTCCGAACCCAAACACGCTCTCCTCTCTGCCGGTGCCACAGCAGCCACCCCGCGATCCACAGCCTCTCGCAGCGACTCTCTGGTCTCAAGCTTTTCCGTGGAGAAGCGAGGATTTTACGAATCTCTTGCCAAGGTCAAGCCAGGGAACTTCAAGGTCCAGACTGTCTCTCCAAGAGAACCAGCTACCAAAGTGACTGAACAAGCTCTGCTAAAACCTCAAAGTGAAAATGGCCCTCAGGAACAAGATTGTGACCCCGTGGACTTGGATGACGCAAGCCTTCCAGTCAGCGATGTGTGAGATGGAAGCACGTGGAGCCTGACCCGCCTCATCCGCCCTCAGTGTCCTTTCAAGAGGCTTCTTGCCAAAGATGATAAAGGGGAAAGGGGCTTTAATGCATATAGTGTACTGCCTCATCGATGTTCTCTTTACAAGCTGGTAAGCCAAGAAGCTAGGGTGTGGCCAAACTCAATGCAATTTCTTTAAAAAAAAAAAAAAAGAAAAAGAAAAAAGCCCTAAGTATCTCAGTATCAACTGTCTGAAGCTTTGTTCTCATTGGGATGATAAAAGTGTGTGTGATATTTTTTCAAAGTGAATTTGACAATTTAAATGTTTCACAATTTAAAACATGAAAAATGCTTATTACTTATTTTGGTTGTTTTAAAAATGCTACTGTGACTTCCAATTAAGTGTTCAATCTCTACACATTCTTACCGGTTAATATTATTGAATGAAATATTGCCAGACAAAAGTATCTAAACTCATGACGTCTGTGGTGCTGTAAAATTTATAGTGCAGTGTGGACAGTTTTGAAATGATAGCCATTTTTGATGCTCTGGATCTCAAGGTAAGCTGTGAGTTTTGCATAGAGGATATTATTGGACAGTTAGTGAGGGTTGTGTGTTATACTGGGGTGGAGAAAAGGGGAGAATTAGAATTCATGCAACCGTATCTCGGACATTTATTTGTAAAAGCTTAAGACGTGCAGCAGTCATTGCTTTATTCGGTGAAAATTATTTGATACGAAATTTCTTGGAGATCTGATTTTCTTGTCAGAGTTTTGTAAAATAGTTCTTATTTCTATATTTGGATCAGTGAAAGACCTCAAGTTTATGTGTGAAGACATACTGCCCTTAGTCATGCGATTGTAACCTCTGTGTTTTGTCACTAATAACCTGTATTCAAGTGCCTGTGTTTTTTCATCTTGTTTAGGAATATTCTGAGATTAATGTGCTCAAAACTCCTACATGATTGGTTTTAAACAATTAGGATAAAATTAATTTTCAGTAGCATAGATTAACATACCATTTTGTGTTAGAGATACCAGAATGTTGTTATTCTACTATCTGTGCAATATATGTTTTAAAACACATATTTGACTTTACATTTAATCATGGGGATATCATAAATATAAGCACCTCTCTAAAAGATCGTTAGTTTCAGGTGTTGAGTAATAGACCAGTTTGACCAAGTACTGTTTTTACGGTTCAGGCTTAAACATTTGCTTTAAGAAAATAGTCTTGAATTTCACATGCTGCTATTTTTATGATATTTTGCCGTATTACAGTAAGTACTGTTTTATTTTGAATTCGTAAATGTCACTGTTTCTCCTTTTCATTTTCTAAGATGACTTCTTGTTTGAGAAAGAGAGGGGAGGGTGGATTTCTTATTACAGTGGTGGTTGGGGTCCAGAGGTTACTATCTATTATACTAGAATTATCATAGCATCACTTTAAAAATCCGAATGCATCAAGAATGCACCACTCAACATTTTTATTCATAAGCTAATATTTTTAGAAGTTAGATTTTTCCTTTTTTGCAGCTACATTTGAGAATGATAGAATGAAAAGGTTTTAAGTAGTTATCACTTTCTCTGCAGATATATCCATTACAGCAGCTCCTTTAGAAAGCTCTTTTTTCATGAACACACCTAAGAAATCTTGTGTAGACAGTTGGCTATTTCAGGAGCCTAATGCTGTTTTCTTTGGTACAGCTTTTACATTGCATGTTCATGTTAATATTTTGGTATTGGTAATTTGGTATATTCCATAGTGGCAAAATATTAGCTCTATTTTGGGACTTTTTATAGAACTACCCTTGTATAAAATAGCACAGGGAAATGGTCTTGTGATTGTCAGAGTCTCCTAATATTTATCTCAATACTTTTATAATTCTATGAAAATTATTTAATTATTTTAAAACTTATACTCTTCCTGTAAATATGTCTCATCTGAATTGTCAAAGAATTACTTTGAATACCTTAATATTTGCTGCATTTTTTTCTGTATATATAACATGTCTTCTTTCAGAATGGGAATATATGTGCTTCCCATTGTTTACTTTTATGTCTGATATCTTTATACATCAAACTGGTTGAACACTGTAATGACTTGAGAATAAATTGCTCAAAATTAATTCTAACTTATTTCTCATGTGGTCTGGTTCAGTTCTTGTGTGAACAAGTAAATAGAGCAAGTACAAAATGTGTTTGGTTAATTGACTTGAATTTAAGGACAGATTATTTGGTAGACTTGGAGGGTATAACTTGATATGCAATTGCACAAGGAAACATGAGTCTTTTTGGGAAATAGAGCTTATTTTGCTTAATTAGAAAACATGTTCTGAAAAGCAAAATCAATTATTCTGGCTTCAAAGCATTGTTTGAATCATGCAGGCTGCTTTTGTGGTGTTTGGTTATTGGTTAGATCGGTATGATACGAATAAGGATGAGTGCAGAGGACATACTGATCCCCAGGTGAGCTGTAGACCTGCACTCATAAAAATGCCCTGTTAAGTATTAGAGGCTGCTTCTTGCAAACCCACTATTAGTAACAAGTAGTCCACACTTGCTGTGTATCCAGCATCTAGTAATAATGCAACTGGATAAAGGATATCTGTGTTGGTAATTTTTATTAATTTTCTTTCCCTGAAAAGTATTTTAAATGTTTTTATTTTTATTTTTAAATGTGGAAGTTCTAAACTTTGTTGCTTTCACCAAAAAAAAAGATCCCTTTCTCAGCCATTTTTTTTACTTCTAGTTAAAGTAGTGCTGTGTCTTTATCAGAAGTTCTAACAGTTGGTGAGGCAGGAAATGTTTGTATAAAACTGGAATGACATACCAGCTTAGTACCAGACTTGGTAAGAATCTTCCTTGTCATGGGAGGTTTGACAGTCCACATATAACGCAGCGAAAAATACACTTAGATGGGTTCGTATTTTCCATTTGCAAACTTCCCTGTTAAGCAGATCCAGAATTGGTTATTTGTATATGTTATTTTTTAATGACTTAACGAAAATTGTATTTTTGTCAAACCTCACGTAAGACATGTATTGAAAATATTGCTGAATTGGAGTTAACATTTACAATTTTGACTGACGAAATCCTAGCGTTTTATTTTTATGACATAACGTGAATAGTGCCTTACTATGGTATATTCATGAAGTAATAGCGCCACCTTCTGGTTGCATCATTGTTAAATTTGAAATCTCACTTTATTTCACTCACAGAAAATTAGAGAAGATATGTAATTGCCTAGGATAGTTTGGAAATTAATATAAAACTTAAGTCAACATTTGTGAGTGACTTCTTTAATAAACCTTTTATTTGGAGATAACTTTAGATTCCCATGTAATTGTAAGAAATAATACAGGGCTCTTGTATACCCTTTTTACTCAGTTTTACCCAATGATAACATTGAAAAACTGTAGTAAAATAATATAACCAGGATATTGATGCTGATATGGTCAGGAAACAACAATTCCATCATCACAAGGATCTCTCATTGTGGCCCTTTTAGAATCACATTTACCTCCCACTTTACAGGTTTGGAAATAAAAGTCAGTTGTTTAAAATCACACTAGGTTTACAATCCAATCTTTTTTATTTCAAGGTCTGGGCTCTTAACCATTATGGTACTGCTGCCTCAGTCGAAGTCTTGAAAATCATTCTTTGTTTATATTGTACTATCTCCAAATTATTAATTGAGTTGAACTTTCATTCAATCTATTTTCAGTATTTTTCAGAACCATATTTTTTTTTTTTTTTGTAGTACGCGGGCCTCTCACTGTTGTGGCCTCTCCCGCTGCGGAGCAACAGGCTCCGGACACGCAGGCTCAGCGGCCATGGCTCACGGGCATAGCCGCTCCACGGCATGTGGGATCTTCCCGGACCAGGGCACGAACCCGTGCCCCCTGTATCGGCAGGTGGACTCTCAACCACTGAGCCACCAGGGAAGCCCAGAACCATAATATTTTAGATGATATTCTTTATACATGCATTTAAATTTAACATTTGAGAATCGATAGTAGATAAATATCCTGATCACAAGCTCCCTGAGAGATTTTTAGCCCTGACATTTGACATGTAAATTAATAAGTTTATCAGAATAAGGATTTTAAAATAGCTTTATTTTAGGTTGCCAGATTCTGGAATTGGAAGGAGTTGCAGAAACTGGTTATACACTGGGTATAGGGTAAGAGTGAGGTGTTTTTCCCTGTGAAGAAACTTTTGACCTTCTGATGAGGTCTTGGGCCAAATGGGTGTCCAGTGTTACAATATGCAGTGCACAGGAAACCTAAGAAAAAGATGACACCCACAAGGAATTTGCTAAAAGAAATATAAAGTGTAATATGTGATCAAATGGAAAACTACACATCCAGAGACTGAGATGGTAATGGTGGAGTGGGTAATAAGAGAAGCATAGTGATGGAGGGGATTTGGAAAGATCCCAGAAGAGAAAAAGGTCCTTATAAGTAAAAACTATGTGACATGGCAATAAATTTGGAAATGATGATTTGGAATTTGAAGTATCCAAATTCGTGCATAAAATTTAAATTGTTCTCTTGAAGTTTCATTGCCTCTTTCTCCCTTTGAAATGAGAGTACTTTTACCTGTCATACTGGTTTTCTTCAGCATTGGTCGGCATTGGGGCAGGAGAGAAAGAGTGGGTGGGAAATGCGGGGATCTTTCCATGATTTAGGAACTTAACCACATCAAAACTCACTTTTGCCTGGCTTTGGTACCTTCACGATGTGGACTTAATCTCTTCCCTGTGGAACCTTATTATTTCCAAATAGAGGCCATTGGTCCCAGTGACATCTTTTCCTTTGTGACTTTCATATGCATCATGCTCCTTGTCATGGTTCATGTTATCACTCATGTTATCCTTTCTTCTCACTCTCCTTTTGCCTGTCTGTATTTCCAAAGTGGAAGATTTCCTAATGGATTAGATATGGCGAGTGAAGGGAAGTGAGGGATAACGGCATCACTTAACGGCATAAGTTTAAGGATAACGGCAAGTTTTTTGGCCTGGACAGCTGGAAGAACAGAGAGCCCTTGAGCTGAGGTGGCAAAGGTTGCAGGTAGAGCAGGTTTGAGGGCAAAGGTTGCAATTGCAGTATTGAGTGTGATGGTTTGAAATGCCTATTAGATACCAAGGAGAAAGGTCAGGAAGGCTGTTGGATATACAAATTTGGAATTGAGAGAAATCTTTATTGGAGATAAAAATTGGGGAGCCCTCAACATACTAGATGCTATTCAAAGCTATGAGGCTGGATTAGAGAGATGAAGAAAGGAGAAAAGAGGACCGAGGAACGGACTGGGTGCTCCAACATTAAGAGCTCAGGAGAGGAAAATGAGAAGTTGTGACTACAAGTCAGTTGGAAGCAAAGGGCAGAAAATGAGTCAAGGAGGAGGGGCTCAGATGTGTCAAACGATGCTCACAGGTCTAGTAAGAGGCCGACTGAGAAATGACTGCTCGGTTTGGCAGTGTGGAGGCCATTGGAAATCTTAATAGGAGCAGTTTGGGTGGAGTGGACCAAACAGAACTATTGTGAGTT